TGTTTCTTTTCTTTCTTTCTTTTCTTTTTTTTTTTTTTTTCTTTTTTGCGGTTCCGGGGATTGAACTCAGGACCCTGCACTTGCCAGGCAAGCGCTTATTCTACTGAGCTATCTCCCTGGGACCTGTTATTGTCTGTTTCTGATTGTAGCCACTCTGTGATTGAGAAGTGGTGTAGAAGTACTGTTCTTCCATGGAGCAGTGTTGAAGCATGGTTTTGTGTGCTTATTGGGTGTTTGAGTGTCTTCTTTTATTATTATTATTATTATTATTATTATTATTTTAGGGAAGGGCCTACAGGGTTTTCAGGGTCTCACTACTAGATTGGACTTATAGTGATCCGCCTGTTTGCAATCTCCCAAGAGCTGGGATTACAGGTACACACCTCCACGCCCTGTCTCAATTACCTTCTCAGCACACTTGGGGGTGGGGCTAGCACAACAGGCCCCGGGATGGAACCCCTGGCCCCTGCGCCTGCTTGCAGGCACTTTAATCCATTATGTATCTTCTTTAGAGAAATGTGTAATCAGGTCCTATGTCCAGTTTTATTTTATTTTTTTAAACATTTCAATTTATTTTTTTGTGGTGCCAGGGATCAAATTCAGGACCTTGTGCTTGCCAGGCAAGCACTTATCGCACTGAACTATCTCCCCTGCCCCTATGTCCAGTTTTAAACTGGATTGTTTTATTTTTTGTAAGAGTTCTTTTTGTTGTGTATTTTACCAGATACATAATTTGGAAATATTTTCTTCTTTTTCTTCATAGTGTCTTTTTTTTTTTTTTTTTTTTTTTTTTTAAATGTATTTAGTACAGGGTCTCACTGGGCAGCTCAGACATAATGATCCTCCTGTTTTCAGCCTCCCCAGCCCTGGGATTACAGGTGTGGGCCACCATGCCTGACTCAGTTCACCTAATCAGTGCGCCCTAGGGTAGGGCTGGCGTAGCAGGTGGTGCCAAGGAGCAAACCCCAGTCCCTGTGCTTGCCTAAGCAGGTACTTAGTCCGCTGAGCTATCTTGCTGGCCCTGATAGTGTCCTTTGAAGCATTAATGTTTTCAATCTTATTTTTTTATGAATTAAGGACAAGGTCTACAGTGTGTACCAGGTCTCACTATGTAGATCGGATTTGTAGTAATCCTGTTTTCAGCCTCCCAAGCTCTGGGATTACAGGCATGTGTGCACCACCACTCCCAGTCTCAGTTGCTGCCCCAGTGTGCCCCAGGGGCAGGGCTGACATGGCGTGCAGGGAACAAACCCCTGTGGCTGTGCTCTAATTAAGCAGCTTTAGTCCTCTGAGCTATCTGGCCAGCCCTAATGTTTTCTTTTTCTTTTTTTCTTTATTTTATTTATTTATTTTTTTTTTTTTGCGGAGCTGGGGATTGAACTCAGGTCCTTGTGCTTGCCAGGCAAGCACTTATTCTACTGAGCAATCTCCCCAGCCCCCTAATGTTTTCAATTTTAATGATATCCCATTTGTGTATTTTTTCTTTTGTGATACACACACACACACAGAGGTATATATTATTTATGTCTCATCTGAGAAATTGTTATCAAATGTAGGGTCACAAATATTTATTTTATTTTTCTGTAATTGTATCATTTTAACTTGCTTTTTGGTCAGGGTCTTTCATCTGTTGAGAGTTAATCCCTGAATGTGGTGTGTGGTGGGCTTCACCTCTGTTCTGTGTGTGAGGGGTCCAGTTGTCTGTGCACCATTTGCTAAAAGGTGCCTACCTGTTCCCTGTTGTGTTCTGTTGGTTCTGTCCTCAAGTTCAGTTGTCATGGACATCGTTTGACTTGTGGGTTCTCAAGACTGTCCCACTGGTATGCATGCCTGTCCTTAGGCCAGCACTATGCTGCTTTGATCACTGTGGCTTTGTGGTAAGTTTTGAAATTGGGAGTGTCTTATTTCAAGATTGTTTTGGCTACTCTGGGTCCCTTGAGTTTCTCTGTGTGTTTTGGAATCTGCGTGTTGATTTCTGTAGTTGTGGGGTTCTGATCAAGGCGACCCTGAGTGGGTCACCATGTAGGCACCCTCTTAATGTTGTTTTCTCAACTATAAGCCTGAGGTGTCTTTTTGTTTATGTATACACTTTGCCCATCACTTGACTCTACTACTGTGAATGGAATCATTTTCTTATTTTTTTGTGGACTACCCAATACTAGTATATAAAAGTAGAATGGGTTTTTATCTATTGGTGTTGTCCTCTTCAGCAGCCTCGATAAATGTCCTCATGGATTATTTTGAGTAGTTTTCATTATGATTTTCCCGCATGTACACAGATCACTAACAAGAAGAGCTAGCTTTGTTCTCTGTGACCCAGTGGATTCCTTACACCCTCGGGTTCTGTGTCAGCGAGTGGTGACGGACACTGTGCTGGTCCGAGGAATGGCGAGGATGTGTCTGTCACCTTTGAGCACTGAGCACAGCAGTGGCTCAGTCCTGTCTCTTCCTACCTTCACACAATGAAGGTTTCCGTCCCATGAAGTGTAGCTGTGCAAAGTGTGGAAATAGTGATTTTTCAGGATATCCACAAGCTTGTTCAGACTTCACCTCTGGTCCCAGAACATTTTCTGGTCAGTATTTTCATACACTGTGTGGCTCTGTGTCCAACTGCTTTGCTGAGCTGTGTGTCCTCAAGGTCCATCCACACTGGGGCTCATGTTGTGACCGAGAGCTTGTTCATGAGCAGTTGGCAGTTCGTACTTGTGACACGTGGTGCCGTGGCTGTTGTGGGAGGCGTGTGGCATTGGCTGTCTGCTTGTCCCGCTCTCAGTGCCTCTTCTTGGCCACAGAGAGGAAGCCGTCCTCAAGGTCACCAGGAGCTAGGCTCTGACCTGTGGTTGCTCCTGGGTGCCACTACGGGAGGCCCAGCAGCAGTCCAGTCTGCTGAGCTAACTGTGTCTCTTCCTCTGCAGGCCTCCTCGCTGGGGAGGCAGAGTCCTCGCGTGGCTTCCTGCCTTGCACACAACCTGTGCCCCCGGGAGCCCAGCTTGCAGACAGCAGCAGGTACCTTCCTCACCCGTGTCTTCCCACCAGGTCCCCCATGGCCTTTGTACCTGTCAGAGGCAGAACCTGTGGTGGCTTGGCTGAGCAGGGGCAGAAGCTGAGTCTGCCTCATCAGGCCAAGTGCCTGTTCTCTGTCACAGCAAGGACCAGAGTGCAGATCTTGGGGAGGTTGCGAGGTATGGGCTGCACAAGAGATACCCCATATTTCTCCACCTCTCCTTAGCTGGCTGCTTGGGGATCAAGTCCTGATGGGACCCCTGGTCTTTACCCTGCTCTGGCCCAGCCCATGAGAGGGCCCCACCTCGGGCTGTACCTGCCCGGCCCCAAGCCCTAGCCTGGCATTTTTGGATCCTTGATTATTTTCTCTCTTTCCTTTCTTTTTTTTGCTTGTTTTGCATTTGACTTACTGAGGACCAGCCAGAAAGATAGCTGTGAATACCCTTTCTCTGCTGGTGTCCTCCTTCCTGTGGGATGTGCCTGTCACAGGCTTCTTGCTGCTGTTCTATGGCCTACCAGACCTGTCCCTACCTCAGCCTGCACAGTGTGACCTGTGTTTGGGGTGTGAGCATCTTAATCCACTGTGTCCCGAGTGGAGCCAGGCCCAGCCCGGTTCCTGAGTCTCTGCTGCTGACCCCTTGCTTGACTGGTGCTGCTGGTCCCTGTAAACTTTGAAGCTTCTATGCATGAGGAAGACCAAATGTCCCCCAGAAAGAAGCATGTGCCCCACATCTTCTTGGCATGCCTGTTGCTATGTGTTCTCTTGGTTTCCCATGCGAGAAGCCAGTCCATACACTTGGTGTATGCCATGGGTTTCATCCCTGAGGACAGCAGGGCCACTGTTGCTGCTCTTCCTGAGAAATATCCACGTTTGCATGGTGGCGGGATACAGGTGAGGCAGCTGCTCATCTTACCTGGGCTGTACTCTTTTCCATAGTGGTGTCCATGGGCTCTGCAGACCCTCAGTTCAGCCTTGCTGAGATCCTGTCACAGAACTACAGCCTCCGGGAGGAGTGCACAGTGACCTCAAGGGGCCCAGACAAGCCTGTGGGGGAGCTTGACAAGGACTTCATCGCCCAGGTGTGTGGGGCAGGGCCTCTGGGCACTCCTTGGGCTTAGGCCCTGCTCACAGAGTGCAGAGAGCCCTGCTGAGAGCCGTTGCCTTCTTCTGTATTACAGGTTAAACTGAGGCATTTATGAAATAGCATTTTCTAATTCAGTAGGATACCAGCAGTAGTGCTGGGTTGTCAGCTCCCTGGTGAGTGCTTGCCTGTTGTGTGTGAAGCCCAGGGTTCCAGCTGTAGCACCACAGAAATAAAGCAGGAAAAACCCAAATATGTATTAGTGGAAATTTTTTTTTTTTTTTTTTAATGAAAAAAACCAAAACCCTCTGGGTGCAGCAGGTCCACCCTTTTGCTAGAGGTATCATCAACTCCACAGATCTGGTGCCTTTACAAGGCCTTGTGTGTGGCCTCCATGCTCCCCCAAAAGCCAGCAGTTGGTAGTTCTGAAAAGAGCAGGGGTGTCAGGTCTTGCCCAGGACTTTCTCTTTGGTTCTGGTGAAGTCAGCTGAGCTCTAGCCATGTGGGATCCTGTCAGCTTGCATCCAGCAGCACTCGCAGCCCCTTAGTTCCTGACATGCAGATCTTCCATTGTAAGGCTGAAACCTTATTGGTGAGGGTCCAGTCTGCCAAGGCTGCTATAATGTGACTCCTGAGACTCAGTCTCTTCAAGTTTTGATTTTTTCATAGTTCAGAGCTGAAAAGTCCAAGGTGCAGCCAGCAGCATGGGCTTCTGGGAAGGCTCTTTCTGCCTTCTCCACCTGGTGACTGATGCCCCTGGAGTCTTAGGAGGACACTAATCCTTTTAGAGCAGGACCCCACCCTCACATTCTCCCATACCTTAATTCATTTTATGTAGGCCTTATCTTTATCTCCACATACAGGCTGCCCTATGGGGTATGGTGTTTCCTAACAGTTAATGTCCTACCAGTGACATAGAATTTTTTGAGTACTGAGGCTTTCCCATATGAAGTTCAGGTGTTTAGACCTAAGTTTTCTAAAGTTCTATGTGGCTTAAAGGCAAGTTTTGTGTGGTAGTGAACACAGTGAGTTGTCTCCTGGCTCATGTTGGAGGCAGCATCCTTGGAACGCAGTGGGGTGGCCTGTGTTCGCAGCACTGTTTGGAGTAGACATTGGGTGACTTCTTCCCGCCCCCTCTCCACACTTGCGCGTTGTGAGCGCAACCTCACCTGGCGTCCAGCAGGTGGCATGTGTGCTTCTGTTTCCCACAAAGCAAAGTAAAACCTGTTTCAGTGAGATTTCCCCTGGTTACCAGTTTTGTCCTGGGCGTTTGTATCTGTGAGGGACACCTTACAGATGTGACACCTGTGCCTGGCTGGGGAGTGCCTGTGCCAGCTTCTTGCCCTGGCTAAGGCTGCCACAGTGGTGCAAGTATCATCATGGGGAAGGGTGCAGATGGTGTCCTGGTGCTGCTGCGAGTGGCCAGGAACTCTGGGGTCTTGGGCCACTTTCCATCTTCCTAGCACATGCACCCTGGCTTGGCACACTGATTGGCCTGTACGTGGGTCCCGTGGGGAGTAGTGTAGGTGGGGAGCAGGGCTGGCAGGAGGCTGGCGGTTTTCCTGTGGACCTGAAGTTCTTGGGATGAGTCAGAGCAGGAGATGGAGGGTGGAGGTGCATGTGCTGACATTCTGGGGTGAGTGGCAGTTTCCAGGACATTGGGAACTGATGTCAGCCCACAGGGTAAGGACAGAGTATAGCAGGTACAGCAGCCTCGGAAGGCAGAGTGGCCCATGAGGAGAGCAGCTGTGTGTGTGTCCCTTCCTGCCCAGGAGACTGAGTCTCACCCTGCCTTCTGTGTTACCGCGTGGCCTGAGCCTGTGACTGTTGCTACCCGTAGCACTCTGGCCTTTCCAGGCCCAGTGTGGCTATTACTGTGGCAAGGGCTTGCTTTCTTAGTGTTCTGAGGTTTTTCTTTTAAATCAGAAAAGTGGGTGTTCATTTTACCAAATCCGTTTTCACATCTGTCTCTTCACCTATTTGTTGAGTTCATAAGTTGGGGTGGCCAAGTGCCAGGTACCAGCCATCCTTGTGTTCTTGGAGTCTGCCTTGGGTAGTACACTGTGCCCAGGGAGGTCTGGCTCCAGGTGTGCCTGTCCCTAGCTGCTGGCCTCTGGGCTCTGGTGTCCCCTCTGTGCCCATCCTATGCTGGCCAGGCAGCACTGCCATGTGGGGATTGACAGGCGCAAGGTTAACCTGTGCTCTAGATTGTGATGGCCAGTGAGGTTCAGGAGTCTGAGGGCCTGCGCCCAGGGCAACCCCTTCTAACAGGGCCCTGTCTCCTCTTGTCCAGAGCAGTGACATGCCCCTGGACGAGCTGCTGGCACTGTATGGCTATGAGACGTCAGATGCCATCTCAGAGCACGAGAGCGAAGGTGGTGACACAGCCCCCACCCTCCCCGACATGACCCTGGACAAGGTAAGTGCCATTCTGTCCTGCAGTTGCCTTAGCAAAATGGCCATAGGGCAGGATTCATGCAAGGCCCTGGCTGCCTCACAGCTGGGGCGAGGTCAGCACCGAGAGGCACTGGCGGCTCGGGTGAGGGAGACATGGTCAGCAAGCCACATCTGATGTTGGTGGACAGAGTGCAGACCTGCAGGCTATGCTGGGAAGTGCCTGAGAGGGAGCACCCAGAAGTTGAGCATTGACTTAGGAGGACTCAGCCCCAAATATGAAGTGGAGGGAGCTGGCACTGCATGTGGCTGGACCTGCCCACCACTGTGCTGGTCTGTCCCTGCCACTGCTGCTTGTCTGCAGAGGGAGTGACAGTCCAGGGTGCCTCCAGGGCTGCTGGTGAGGGTTTCTTGCAGTGGCGACTCTGCTATCATCTCCTTGGTATCATTTTGAGATGGGTACAACAAAGCCAGATGCAGCATTTTCTTTGCTTTCTTGTTATAAGGAACAAATAGCGAAGGATTTGCTCTCTGGGGAAGAGGAAGAAGAGACGCAGTCCTCTGCCGATGACCTCACCCCATCTGTCACCTCCCATGAGGCCTCTGACCTTTTCCCCAGCCAGAATGGACGTAGGTGCCCCTTCCTCTTCCCAACACCCGTTCAGGCTGGCTCGGTTAGACATGAATGCGATACCCCTGGGTGGCTGGGCTTTCCTTCATGCTGGCCTGTGGGCTGAGACTGGGGGATGGGCTTGGTCTCAATGTGGAGGCAGTGGTGGCTCCTGGAGCAGGCTCAGGGTAGCCTTCGTTGGCCCTCCAGACTCCCTTGCCCCTTCCCTAGCAGCAGAGATGAAGAGGCCACTTCCTCATGGGTGATCTTAAGCGTATGCCCAAAGTGTGGGTCACAGTGGAGGGGGCGTCACTAGAAGAAGGGACTGGTGGGCTGCAGCAGGGAGAGGGCCAGGCCCTTGAAGCAGGCTCAACTCACACCTCCCTCTTTTCAAAGCCCGTTTCCTGGCTAGTGGTGACAAAGAGCCAGGCTCCTCAGCCTCCTCTGACACCGAGGAAGACTCTCTTCCTGCCAACAAGTGTAAGAAGGTACGTGACCTGGGCATTCCAACCCCTAGAAGCCAGCTGGCACCCCAGAGCCCTTAACTATGTTTGTGCCCCCTGGCTGAGGAGGGGGTGTCCCAGTGGGCTTCTGCAGTGGCCCTGGGATCTGTGCTACAGCACTGTGGCCTGGCGTCCTGTCCAGCATGCTAGGTTCTCCACCCACACCCAGGCTTCTGCCTCCAACCTGAAACCTGCAGAACTGGGCATTAGCAGGCGGGTGTTAGCTGTGGTGGGTATGCCCCCACTGCCTGGACACATTTGTGCACCCTGACCCCAGCCTTTCCTCTGCAGGAGATCATGGTCGGGCCTCAGTTCCAAGCTGACCTGAGCAACCTGCACCTAAGCCGGCACGGCGAGAAGAGTAAGTGGCTGGAGCAGCCATGCTACAGGAGGCTGCGCTTGCTGGGACTCGGGTCCTTGGAGGTTCACTTGGGGTCTCTGGCCATCCTCCATCCACGCTGCTCTATCCATCACGCTGCTTGGTGCACCTGCCCTGTGTAGGCTTTTCTCTAGCTGCCCCCCTCCCTGCCTGTGATTGTTTTTCCCTGGCCTGAACTCTGCTCACTTAGCCCTTGGGCAGATACCCTGGCAGACAATTTGCCCAGTTGTTCCTGCTCCCTGTGCCCCACTTTGTTCCTCTGTAGGGTACTTGCTGTTTCTGGTTGAGATGTATGCCTGTCCTAGTCCCTTTTGTGCATCCCAGGTGATGTAGCTACTTGGCTGCTTCTGGCTCAGGAATTATTTTCTCTGTGACTGGATATCAGGCCATTGAGGAGGGAGGGGACAGATACATGGGACTGAGGGAGGTGGGGACACCCTCTGGGCCTCAAACTCAGGTGTGGACAAAGTCATGGAAGACCTCAGGTAGGGACAGAGGAGACCCAAGGACTTGCTGTGAGAAGGGCATTGTGTCACCTCTTTGCCCACAGTGTGGCCCAAGCCTCTGGGCCTCGTGTTGTAGGCTCTTCTTGCCCATGCAGGGGACAACTGGGGCCTACGGATCTCGTGGCAGGTCTGTGCCTGAGCTTGTCTGTGCCGTGGGTGTGTCCTGTGTGCTACCACAGTGTTTCCTCCTGTGCATGTCTGTGTTTGGTGTGACAAGGCCCTCAGTTGTGTGGATGTGGCTGCCAGTGTCTGGTGAGAGCTGGCGTCCTCTAGTGGGCAGGCTCTGCTGCATTCACGCAGTGCGTGGGACACGCCCCACATCCTCCTCAGTGCACGTGTCATCCATCTTGTTGGTCCAAGTTCTCCCCTTGTGGCTTTAGTGCCTTGTCCGCAGGCAGGAGTGTCTGCAAGTCCCTTACATGCCCTCTTCTGGTGTCCTGTGCAGGGTTGCGCTGTGTCTCCCTTTTCGGTTTGCAGGTTTTGGGTGCTGTCCTGGGTAGGCTGTGTGCACAGCAGTGTTTCTCCATTTTGGGGCTCACCCTTTGACACCTCATGACAGAGAACTTGCCAGTCTGTCTCTATGGGAACATGGGTGTGCAGCAGCCCTGTGTCTCCTGGGGCTGACCACTTCCCTTCCTCTGGATGTCTTGGTGCCCAGAGGTGAGCTCACGCCCTCTGTGCCCAATGGCACCATGTGGGAAACTCCTTCCAGGCTGAGAGGCAGTGTTTCTGAAGGGCCCCAGATGTGGCTTTCTTTCCCGCTCGGCACTTCAGTGGCAACTGTGTAGTCTTCAGGGCCATGTCCTATATCTCATTAGGCCTGTTATTTGTGTAATACAGAAAAGTGTTTAAAATACTTTTTTTGGTGCTTGGTTCTCACTCATAGGAGTATATCTTGGACTTTGAAAATTCTGTTGTATATTCTGTGTATAGTCACGAGGAAGGCCAGGAGTGCTAATCCATGAGCCTTGAGCTCTGTGCTGATTCTGTAGAGTTTTCATCTACACTGTCCTGCTTCTTTCTCCGACATGTGCCCATATTGTCATAAATGGCACCATAGTACTTGTGCTCTTGTGCTCCCTGTCGCCTTTTCTTGTGTTTTTCCTGGGACTCTTTCTTCCAGGGAGGCTGTGGGGTGGCCTGGGGTGGCTGTGCTGTCTTGTAGTGTCCTGCAGGGGTCTTGGCAGGGAGAGGCCTCCCCCAAGTTTTGACAGTGCTGGCAATCAGTAGTGGGGCAGGGGACTTCCTTGACCCACTCTACCCCACAAACCCTTCCTGTGGCCCTTCGTACCTCCTGCTGGTATCTCCTACTTCCCTGGCTTTGTTGCCCCACCACCCTGGATCTGATGTCCTCCTGGGCACACTGACCTTGGTCCTCTTCTATACATTGAGCTGCCTATGGCTGAGGCTGGCAGGCCTGGACCATGAGCCCACGTGACCCACTATGCCCACCTTGACCCAGCCCTGACTATGCCTTCTCCTGCAGTTTATGAGAATGAGGACCAGCTGCTGTGGGACCCCGGAGCCCTCCCTGAGCGGGAGGTGGAGGAGTTCCTGTACAGGGCTGCCAAGCGCCGGTGGCAGGAGGTGGCTGGCTCCCAGCTCCCAGAGGGGGAGGCCGTGAAGGACAGCGAGCAGGTGGGCCCTGTGCCGGGACAGGAGGGAGGCTGACCACAGGGGCCAATGTGGGTATGAACACATTTACAGCACTTGTCATGAGAACAAAGTGGTGTTTGTGTCCCCCATGTCACTCTTGGAGGTATAGACACCTTTGTGTGTTGTAGGGGGGTCATGTGTATGCCCCCACTCTCTTGAAATGGTGGTGTAGACACCCTCCCATACTACTTGAGGTGGTGGCATAGATGGCCCTGCATCATTCTGGGGTGCTGCTGTGGATGCCCTGCCCAGCCTCTGCACGGTAATTTGAGCAGCATATCCCCCCAGGCGCTGTACGAGCTGGTGAAGTGTAATTTCAATGTGGAGGAGGCCCTGCGGAGGCTGAGGTTCAATGTGAAGGTGATCCGAGGTGAGCCAAGGCCCGGGCACCTGCCCCACTGACCACCCTGCCCCACCCCAACCCCCAGCACCCCACCCCATCCCCAACACTCCACCCCGCTGACCGTCCATTCCGTTGCAGATGGGCTCTGTGCCTGGAGCGAGGAGGAGTGCAGGAACTTTGAGCATGGCTTCCGCGTGCATGGAAAGAACTTCCATCTGATCCAGGCCAACAAGGTGAGGGCCCTGCCACAGGCCCATCTATGTCCTGCTCCAGTAGTTCCTTTCCCAACTTAGAACCAAGTCACACTGAAGGTGACTTCTCACAGCTCTGCATGATATGTTCCACTCTGTGGCCAGGAGCACCAGCCTGTTGTCAGTGTGTCCTCAGAGTGAGCCATCCATTGGCTTGGTCCCCACACTAACTGGGTACTCAGCCCGAAGCTGTGGGGACAAGGGTCTCCTGGTTCTCCTGTCTGGGGGCCCTGGTCCTTCTGCCCTTCCTGGATGGGAGTCCTGTGTGGGTCACTGCACCCTGCAGTAGTGCAGCAACCCTGTGACTTCTAGGCTGACTCCCTGCAGCTAGGCTCTGTGTAGAACTGGGCCTTCCAGCTGTCAGTGCTTCCATGCCTGTGGCCCCCCTTGTGGTTGTGTGATCCTTTGCTCTGGTTTTGTGATATGGGGATTTGCTTATGTAGGTCCCTTGATGTCTTTCTCTAATTGAGAGGCAGGAGATCATGAACAGTGACATTATTCAGGGTGACTGTGCCCAGGGCTGGGCCAGAGGCAGCACTTGATCCTTTTGCATCATCAGACTTCAGCATCTGAGTCTTCCAGAGCCCCATGGCCTACCGTTTTCCTGCTAGTGGCTTTTGGCTATGCACCTCTTATTTTGCACAGTGTTTAAATGCAATCAAAGCGCTTACTGCCCGGCCCTCCGGGTGTGTTCGGTGCAGTGTCTGGCCAGGAAAGTGGTTCTCAGAGGCCAGACATTGGTGCCTCCCATCGGTAGGGTTCTGTGTACCCAGAGCACCTGAGGTGCAGCCCTGGCATTAAGGGTGACACTTCCCTGAGGACGCACTGCATCCTGGGAGGCGTGGGTACTGCTGGTGTGGGCCACAAATGCCAGGGCCTGCCACTGCCTTGCTGCTTCCCGTCTCAGCACACCCTGACTCTCCTGTTGTGTCCTAAGTAGGACTTAGAATGTGAGTTTCATAGAACCCAGGTGTCTTGTATATGCTCAGGCAATTGTCAGGATGGGGTGACACTGTGTCCAGGGTTCCTTAGCTCACATGGTGTTCTCTCTGGGAGCTCTGTCCATGGTGACTTTGAGCTTGGAACCCGTTACCACCTGTGCCCACGTCCTTAGAAGCAAGTTGGGGAGGTGGACGCTGGCTGATCCTCCCTGGGCGACTGGGTCAGGGAGGTGGGGGGTAGGGTAGGGGTGGGGTCTCTAAGTGTTTGTTTGTGGTGTTAGTGCCACATGGGGACAGGAGGGTCCCAGGTTGGGGGCAGAGGCTCTAATGGGGCCTCCGGTCCAGCAGTAGTGGCCCAGGAGCCTAGATGGATGGGGGAGAAGTGGGGCTGAGGCCAGGGCCGGGAGTCAAAAGGGTCCCTGCCATTTTGCAGGTGCGTACGCGGTCAGTGGGTGAGTGTGTGGAATATTACTACCTGTGGAAGAAGTCAGAGCGCTATGACTACTTCACCCAGCAGACGCGGCTAGGCCGGAGGAAGTACGTCCCGTCCGGAACCATGTGCGTGCAGCGCTGCTCTCGGCAGTAATGTTGGCTGGGCCACCTGCCCGAGGCTGGGCTGGGCTGGGCTGGGCTGGGCTGGGCTGGGCTGGGTGGGTGGGTGGGGCACCTGGGCAATGCTTCAGGGTCAGGGAATTGTGCACCCTGCTTCCTGGCCCCTTACAGTGCTTCTCCCCATAGGGATGCGGACCAAGACTTGGATGGCAGTGACCCTGATGGTCCTGCTCGCCCCCGTGCTGAGCAAGGATCCCTGGCAGGTGCGTGTACAGGTGAGCTGCAGCAGGACGGTGGTGGCTCTTTCCTGGCACTGTCCTGGGTCAGGCACCACTTGAGCACTGGACCTCCCATGGTCTTGGGCTGCCTTAGCAGCACCATGAGCTGTGTTGCTTGGGGACAGTTCCTACCTGTCACCTGAGTCCCATCCCACAGGGCCTCTCAGGCTTGGTCTCAGTGTCCGGGGCTTAGTCCCAGTCAATAGGTTGCTTGGGGAGGCCACAGATGAATTATCCAGATGTGCTGCTGTTTTGTTTTTGTGACACCGAATAGAACCCAGGCCCTGGGCATATAATATAAGCTCGCACTTTCGATGGCATCTGCTGAAGGAACAGAGTAGGGCCCCTTGCTTCCTTGGGATACCTCATTTCCAGAATCTAGCATGGTTTGCCCAGAGGATGCCCATGCTTGCCAATTCCCCAAATTCTGTGTTGAGCTGGGCATGTGTTGAGACTGAGGCAAGAGGATTACTGTGAGTTTGAGGCCAGCCTGAATTATATAGCAAGAGCTTGTCTCAAAAACACTAACAGAAAGATTCCACCAACTGATGGACTATGAGGATGTAGGGGTGTGAGTCTCACCCTATCCACATTCAGATTTTGGGGGTCGGGGAGATGGCTCAGTGGAATAAGTGCTTCCCTGGCAAGCGCAAGGGCCTGGCCTGAGTTCAATCCCCGGTTCCGCAAAAAAAAAAAAAAAAAACAAAAAAAAACAACACTAATGGGGCTGGGGAGATAACTTAGTAGGATAAGCGCTTGCCTGGCAAGTGCAAGGACCTGAGTTCAATCCCCAGTTCTGGAAAAGAAAACCCAAAAAAAGAAAAAAACCCACTTAACAGCAAGAATTCAGATTGTATGTGATGCGCCTCTGTGACGCACGGGGGAACGGGCTTCACATGGTTTCATGTTCACCCAGTCCTCAGTGCCACTGTGTTTTTTGTCACCCCCCTGAATGGTTGTATCTGGTCCCATTTAGAAATGTGCTTTTGACCCAGTGAGTTGGTCCCTTTGCTTGTGTTTTAGCTGTTCATGTGGCCTTTCTGAGGAGGCCAGGCAGGTGCCTGCACAGTGACAGCGAGCAGTGCCTGTGGGGTCCAGGTGGGCTGGTGCAGGTGCCAAGTGCAGCCAGCCCCAATTGTGTTCTCCCTGCAGAGCCGCTGAGTGTGGACTGCGCAGCCAGCGCTCACAGTGAGCCCAGAGTGGAATCTGGTGGCCTTCCACCCTTGGAGACAGGGCCCTGTCCTTTCCGGCAGCCCGACGAGACTCCTGCTGTGCTTATGCCCCAGCGGCCACCAGGCCTGGGCGACCCGGCTGTGTATCCCTCAGACACAGCCACTCCAGAGCCAAGTGTTAGCCCAAGGCTGGCCGTGGACTTCGCCCTGCCGCAGGAGCTGCCCCTTCTCTCCAGCCACGTGGGTCTCAGTGAGGACCCTGAGGAGCCTGTGGCCCCTGCACAGGTGGCCTTGTCAGTTGCCGAGTTTGGACTCATCGGCATTGGGGACGTGAACCCTTTCCTGGCTGGACACCCAGCATGCCCAGCGCCTGGGCTGCACTCAGAGCCCCTGTCACAGTGAGTACCACCCCCTCATCCCTCCAGGCCAGGCCTCACCCTGTAGCATCTGACATTACTCTGCTGTGAATCTGAACCACCTTGGCACTAGGTAGTATATTTATGAGGCTCACAGCCAAGAAGGGACAAGGGTGCAGGTGCCAGGTTCCTACCTTGGCTCAGCGCCCTGTGCCTTCGCCTAAAGGGTATCCTGGGGTGGGGGAGCCACTGACTGTTCTCCTCTCTCTGGCAGCTGCAATGTGATGACCTGTTGACCCCTGGCTCCTGGCGGGTGTGCGCAGCCTGGACTGGACTTGGCCCCGAGCCAGACCTGCCTGTCAGTCTTCCTGACCCCTGCCACCTGGGCCTCTGTGATGCCTTCTCTGCTTCAGGAGACAGCAGGACTGGGTGAGGTGGCCAGGGCGGCGGCCCTCACCTCCTCACAGACTGGACCTGGGGCCACACAGACCTTGGCTTTGGTGCCTGGCACTGCCACTCTGCTCCAGGCCACCGTCGCATCAAGGGACCCACTGGCAGCGGGCTCAGAGAAGGCCTGTCCCTTGGAACACAGGGCAGAGCTGGCCACCAGGCCCCTTCCAGCCAGCAGTGGCAAAGGCAGATGTCACTGCCCCAGTGGTGGGGGATGTGGGCAAGACACGCACCAGCAGCCTCTGTCGGGGCGCTTCAGCAGCTGTTGGCTCTGTCCCTACATGTCCGGCAGGGCCCTGGGGTCAGTGGGCCGCTGCTGCTCCGTGCCAGGTCCCAAGGCACAGAGCCATATACCTCGCTGTCTGGCCCCACCCACCCCTGCCTCCGCCCCATCTCCACTTCAGGAAAAGCCGCACTTTATGCCCCACTGCCTCCAGCCCCTGCATCCCATCTCGACCCTCCCGAGGTCGGAGTGGGGCCCTCAGCAGGCCCCAGAGACTTGAGGCAGGTGACTCTCATCCTTTTGCTGCCCCTTCCTCTTGGCGCCAAGGTGGGGTACTCCAAAGGGGCTGAATGCCAGCCCCAGCACGCCCTGTAGTTTTCATTCTGTTAGAGGTGGCCTGGCAAGGCGGCTGGGGTCCTTGTCCTCTTCCCGGCCTCCTGGTTCTGTTTATGTTGGTGTTTACAAGGCGGAGTGGGGTCCGCCCAGGGTCGGCAGCGCGGTGCTGGCTGGAGCCATCTGCACTGGACTCGACTGTCCCTTGCCCCAAGGACCACACTGTGAAGTGAAACTGCCTTTGCCCCTTCGCTGTTTTATTTATTAAACTTGATTTGAAGCCCAGGTGCCTCTTGGTGGATGAGGTGGGTACAGGAGTCGGGCCTCCCTCATCATCTTTGTGGGCAGAGCACACAGGCTCTGTGGGCCAGGAGCAGCAGGACCAGCGCTGGATGTGGAGCCAACAGCTGCCACGCTGCAGGCGGGGAGGCCTGGGTCCCAGAGGCTGGATTGGTGCAGCCCTTGTGGGGAACGCAGACAGGCTGGACAAGGTGTGGAGGCCAGAGAGCAGGGTCTCCCCAAGAGCAGGCACCACATTTGGAACAGACTTAGGTTGCACCATGGTCCTTGGCCCTGTCAGTCTCATACCAGGTGGCTTGGCTTTGTACACCTGACTAAATGCCTGGGAGGAGTATTGGGAGGGAAGTTTTGTCTTGGCTTAGGTTTTCATCCCTGGTCAGTTGGCTGTGTTACCCCGCAGGAGTGGGGACCAACAAGGCACAATGGCTGGAACATGGCAACCAGGAAGTTGCTAAAACTACAGAGCCAGGGAAGAGAGCTTGGGCAACACTGAATCCCCAGCTGCCCCACCTAAGAGCTGCTCAGCTGTGAATTTGGCAGCTGGTTGCTCTGTATATGCCCTCAGTGGCCACCTCTGGACATGGCTGCTGGGAGCTGAGCCCTCGGCATGCAGGCTAAGCTATTGCCCATGCCTGGAGGTGCTCTGCTGCCTGCTGGGCTCTCCTGACTGTGATCAGGACTGGTGTCCCTCTCAGCTTTGGAATAGTCGAGCAGGTGTGCCTGTTGCGGGTGCTGCATTGCTACGCTTCAAGGTCTCAAGCCTATGCGCGTCGAGTTCTCGTGTATTCGTACTCAGAGCTCCCCTGGCTCCCGAGGTCTGTGACACTTCTCTGCAGCTTGGATAGCCCATGGTGTAGACAGAGCTGCTCATATGGATCTGGGCTGGAGTCCACAGTTTTGCTAGTTAGCTATAAACTTGCACACAAGGGCTTCTTTTGGTCCTGAGTCTTCAGCCAAGACCTAGCCCCTCACTGTTGGCTGGTGCAGTGAGAAGCAGCCCTGAGCTCTTGGGGACAGCTGGGGGTTCTGAACCCATCCTGGGCAACTTAGCAAGTGCTGGTCTCAAGATTTTAAAAATTTAAAAAAGCTGAGACGGTGGTGGGCACCTGTAATTCCAGCTCTTAAGAGGCTGTAAACAGGCGTATCACTAGGAGTCCCATCTAGTAGTGAGACCCTGAACACCCTCTAGACCCTTCCCTAAAATACAATAAATAAAAAAGCTAGGGATGATCCTTATTGTGGAAGACCTGAGGAGCTGGGGATATAGCTCAGCAGTGTAAGCACCTGGCTGGCAAGCCCAGGGTCCCAAGTTTGATTACATACCAAGCAACAAGAAAAACCTTACATGCAGTTGGTTTGTTTCTTAATTGTGTGTGTGTGTGTGTGTGTGTGTGTGTGTGTGTGTGTGTGTGTGTAGTTTACCAGTAAAACTCAGGATCTCACACTTGGCAGGCACACCACTGAGCTAGTTCCGTTCCCAGCTCTTTAAATACTTTCTGGGGCCTTGAAGTACCAGCCCTGCCCCTAGTGCGCTGAGTGGCCATAGAGACCAGGCATGGTGGCACACGACTGTAGTCCCAGCACTGGGGAGGCTGAGGCAGAAGGATCACTTAAGTCCGAGCTATGTAGTAAGATCCTGTACCAAATACATAAAATTTAAGTAAATAAGTACTTTCTGACACCCCTCACCCATATATCCCCTTGTCTCTCAGTCTTGTTAATCTTTGTTTCTTGTGGAGACTTTGTCATTCTTTTGTTTCTGTGTGGCATCTTTTTCTCTTTTTTTTTTTTTTTGTGTGTGTTTGTGTGTGGCATTCTTTCATCTCTGAACACTGCAGGGTTTTTTTTTTTTTTTTTTTTTTTTTCTGTCTGAACTTCGATGAGCCTGGTTCTTGTTCTTTTGGGTCCTGGGCCCTGTGGGTCAGCCTGGCCCTCAGACCTGGCCCTGTGTGTTTCCAGGCAAGACCCGCAGTCCAGGGCCCTTGTTCTGTCCTCTGCCCCACTCTGGATAATTCTGAGGCCTTTCCTTGCAGGGAACTAAATTTGCTCTATCCAGGCTGCACCCGAGGGCTCTTCACATAGTTTCACTTTTAGAATTTGCACCTGCATTTTTCTAGTTCTTGAGACATGATGGCCCTCCTGCCTCAACCTCCCAAGTAGTAGCTGGGATGCCTGGGCTGTACCACCCTGTCTGGCTCCATCTTCTGTATTTATTTTATTTTTATTTATCTTAGTATTTGGTACAAGGTCTCACTGTGGGTTGGTCTCATGATCCTCCTGTCTCAGCTTCCCCAGCGCTAGGATTACAGGTGTACGGTTTTGATGGCTGGTGTGGCAGGCAGTGCTGGGGGTTGAACCCAAGTCTCTGTGCTTGCATAAGCAGGTCCTCAGTCCACTGAGCTATCTTCCCAGCCCTGTATTGTTTTGTTGTTTTTTTTTTTGTTTGTTTTTTTCAAGGTCTCAGTTGGAGTTTAATAGACACTACAAAAGGCTGTTGAATGGCCTTGGCCCTGCTGCTGGTACATCATACATTATCAAATGGTCCACTCGTAAATATAGCTCAGGCTATTACTACCAATGTAAGAAAAATTGTTTTCCCAGGCCCTGTAGGAAAGGCATATATTGCCCCACACATCTTGTGGGTTTTTTTTTTTTTTAATAATTTTATTTATTTATTTATTTTGTGTGTGCGTGGCCAGCTCAGCCCACCAGGGGGCGGGGCTGGCTGGCATGTGGTGCTGGGGGATTGAACCGCGGTCCCTGTGCTTTGCTTGGCTTAGCTTGTTCTAAGTAGGTGCTTTAGACCACTGAGCCATCTCACCAGTCCCACATCTTGTGTTTAAAGCATGAAAAGATGTACAAAAGAGCTTTTGTTCTCTTGGCCCACTGCTCATTTCTGCTCAGAGAAGTACTCTTTGCTTTTCTGGACATCAGGCTTGATGGTGTCACTGCCAGGCTTCTGCCCAGCTGGGCACACTTCTCCATGTTTGTCAGTGAACTAGAAGGCCTGTGCGAGTTTCGGAGCTTCATCTACAGAGCGGCCAACAGGAAGATCGTTTACTGTGATCTGCCAAAGGATAATCAGTGATAAAGAGGCCCCTGAATGAGATGCCTTCATCAGCCTTTTAGACCCCACCATCCTGAGCAAGGGTGCGCTTGGGATCTGACGCCAGGGGAATGTTCACAGGCCCCAGTCCTCCTGTTCCCTGGGTGTGTCGATGCGTGTCAGATGACCAGAATGAGAATCCACAGATGCACTGATCACTTGGCAATTAAGTTTCTTAAATTCTTCTGCCCTGTCACTGAAAGCAGTTGTCTCCGTGGGGCACACAAAGGTGAAGTCAAGAGGATGAAAGAAGGACACAACATGTTTTCCTTTGTAGTCAGGTTGATATCTTTGAACTGACCCTCTGGCATCACAGCTGTGGATTTAAAGTTGGGGCAGAGTGCCTGATTTTGGCATTTTGAGAGGACATCTTGCTATGAGCAGTTCCCATGCCGGGATCTCCCAACCACAAGTCACCAACAGGGCTGAACAGGACGCCTGGCCCTGTATTTTTTTTTTTTTTCTTTCAAAAGCAATTTATTTATTTTCCTGTACTCTTTATAATAGTCACTACAACCTGCTACTATGGTTGTACTTCGCATATTACTGTTCGAGTCATTTAAACATTGATCTACATCGTTCAAATTCTCTGGCCCAGGTTTTCTGGGACCCACTTCCCCTGCAACATTGCTTTCTTGTTCTTTTTTTTTCAGGAAAGGAAAAAGTATGTACGTTTATTTTACACAGTTGGGTGAAAAATAAATTTGAGAGAAAGTAAGATAAAATTTAATATGGTCTCATACGCCCTGCAGGAGGTGGTGCCCGATTTGGAGGGGTAATCTCTATGTCCAAGTAATCGCCTATTTGGAACTTCTGTGACTGCAGAGTCATGGAATCATCTGTCCCCTTTCTGCCAGACATGGTGCTGCCAAGCTCCTTAACTCGATAGCTAGGTCTTTTAAGATCCATGAAAACAATTGCAAAATTGAAGTGTGTGCCCTTCTTTCTAGCTTCTGGGTAGACTTCTTTTACTAAGCTAGTTAGTTCTTTCAAAGTTGCATCCATCCAGGTGTAGATCTGCAGCTCGCTGGATGGGACATTGCCGCGGGAGAACTCGTCCATACGGTGGTGCCGACCGTTGTTGGTGGTGAATACCTGGAGCAGCAGCGGACATGTCTTCTCGCTGTCAATTGGCTTCTCTGGCTCTTTCTTAATTTCCTCCGGAGTAACTCGCGACTCCACCACCATCTTCTTGCTTCTCTGCTTTCTTGTTCTGTAGTGAGACTTCAGGGATCCTGCTGACTTCAGGAGCCCTGTGCTGCTTTGCTGCTACCCCCTCCAGGGTCATTCTCAGTGACCTCCTGTCCCCTCCCCTTGTGGCTTGGAAGTTTCGGGTACATGGTCCCGTCCCCTGTGGCAGACATGTGAATTTTGCCCAGTGGTTTAAATTGTACCCCTATAGTGCTCACTTCGGCAGCACATATACTAAAATTGGAATGATACAGAGAAGATTAAATTGTACCCCTATAGTAGGATTTCTTGGGTCTCTTGGGAAACTGACCAAAGCAGAAGAGTTTATTTTCCTGTTTCTTTTCTTTTTTCTTTCTTTTTTTTTTTTTTTTTTTCAGAATGGGGGATTAAACTCAGGTCCTTGAGCTTGTCAGGCAAGCCCTTACTATACTTAGCTATCTCCCCAGCCCCTTCTTTTTTCTTTTTCGAGACAGCCTCACAGTGTACTTCAGGCTGCCTTTAAACTCGTGACAGTCCTGCCTCAGCCTCCCAAGTGGGGGGTTACTGGCTTGAGTGGTGGGACTGGCACTGGGCAGAGGGAACAGCAGGAACCAAGGTGCATGGGCAGCAGGGGTGGCAGCCGCACGGGGAACAGACTTCCTACTTCCTATTGGTAAGCACCAAGGGTAGGGGCCAGGCCACTGAACATGTGCCCTCTGAGCCAGGGAGTTTGAAAGTTTTGGAGGTAGAGGGGAGTCTAGTGGGTCTGCTCTGGGACCGTTGGTGCTTCTGCAACCCTTCTCTGTGTCAAACCTCAGGGCCTGGCCACTGCTCTGTCACCCTAGAGCCATCCCTCTGAACAGCTTCCTGTCCTCAGCTCCCTGAGGGTCTTGTTGAGAAGTGGTTTGTGTTCACTCAGCATTTCCTTCTGGCTGCATGGGGGTCTGCTAGGCAGAGCAGAAAGCCAGGCTTCACCTAGCAGCTTCCAGGGATGAAGGGAGGGTGTGGTCCAGACCTGGGCCAGGCTGTGCTGGACATGTGGGGCGCTGCGTCAGGGCCATCTGGGCCCATCCAGTGCTGGCCCTGCTGTCCAGGTAACTGTTCACTCAGGTTAGGGTTGGGGGCTTATTTTCCTGTTTTGTAGCACCTAGGTAGGGTGGCCAGGTAAGATCCCAGGATGCCCAGTTAGATTCTAATTGTAACTAATACAAAAAAAAAAAAAAACCATACACTGAACAGTATTTGGGACATAATGCAAAATAGGTGTCCTGTGTTTCCATTTGCTACACTGAGCAGCCCAAATCCTGGGCCCTTCCAGGTGGATGTTGATGTTACCTGTGAAGCGCATACCCCTTCCTGATCCCCTGGGAATTCCCAGGGTATTTGGGAAGTGCCACTCCTGGGGTAGCTTTGCCTGTGTTGCAGAAAAGGGATCACCTATTCTGGTCCTAGGAAGTAGGGTGGGCGGTATGGGTGGCACCTGGGCAGACAACTCACCCAGGTGGCACTGGTTGAGCACCTGCCAGACGCAAGCCCTGGCCTCCTGGTGGCAGCATGGAGACAGGATGAACACACAGCCAGGGAGGTGGTGCCTACAGGTGTCATGTGTGGGGACACAGTCCCCCTGGCTGCGTGAGGTAGTGTCATTTCACCCAGGATGGAGGCTTGGAGGCCCTGGGGCTCACCCCATCCCTGGCTGAGGTGGGACACCCTAAGTTAAGAGGTGCACCAAGTGCTGGACTCCAGGCAGCCTGTGCAACTCTGGGGTTCCAGCTGCATGGGTGCTGGGTCTGGAGTTTGAAGGCTGGGGTCCCATCCCTTGGAGAGTGCATCATGTCTTCCCACATCCCTCCCCCAGGCTCACCAGCCCACTGCAGGCCGTGGGTCACTGACCAGTCCTTGACCTAAGCTGGGGCTTTCTAGTCCCAGAATTGAACCTTGACAAGCTGCTCTATCTCTCTGGGACTGAAGAGAAGTGAGGAAAGTGAAGGTGAAATAGTGGTATCTGGATTTAGCTAGTGCCTATTGTATGTCAGCTCCCTGTGCACATTTCATGGGTATCTCAGGTCCATCAGGTCAGACTGGCACTGAGCCCCTGACCCACTGCCTGGGGCCACCTGGACCCAGAGAGTTGGTTCTGTCTGAGAAATTTGAGCAAGACCCTACTCCCCTCCTAGCTCTGCCACCTGCAGCGAGTGTCCTGGCTTTTTGCCTAGTGCCCCCTGGCCATGGGCACCCCACAAAGGGGAGCAGACAGAATCTCAAGGCTTGGGTGGCCCCAGTAACAGGTAGGATCCTTGACCCCAATCCTAATTCTAATCCTGATTTTTGCTGCCCCCACAGATTTTAATCCTGACCCTGCCTGGGATTTTAAGGACTGACCTATATCCTGATCAGCCTCACCCTCACACACGGGCCCCAGCTCCTTCCTAGGGAGCCTCTCTGACTCCCCCCTTCTCTGGCTCCCCCCTGCAGGGCTCCCCGCTTAGCACTCAATAGGTGCTCAATGAGGAACTGCTTTTCAGGGGCTCTGATACAAGGTCATCGTACACTTTGTTAGCAGGAAGTACTGAGTGCCCTCTGGACTTCCTGAGGGAGGCGTCCCCACTGGGAGGAGGGGGCAGTAGCAGTTCCATCCAGGGGTTACATTTATGCAGGATTGCACTCTCGCCCTAATTTCAGGATCTGTGCGTGAGGAACTCTGGAGGGGCGGAGCCTAAACCCTTCTGTCCCACTTCCACACCCCCCACTACACATAGGCGCTGCTCACTCAAGTGTTACAAGCCCCAGACTCCCCATTTGGGGGCTGTTGGGTCGAAGGATGGTAGACATAAATTCAGTTTGAGCAGTCAAAGGCCGCAGCGACCTCGGGGCCCAGCCTGAGTTGCAATACCGCCCCTACCACGCCCACATCGCAGCCCCTGCGTCCAGGAGGTCCTCTATGGCCCAAAGGACCAGCGCAACTATTGGGACATAGAATTTGAAAGGGGTTCTTAGTTTCCAAACCTGACAGGATGCAGGACCCTCCCTTGGGTCACAGTTTTGGGAGAGAAGCGACCCCTCTGCAGAGCCTCCGCGCCTCCTGACTTCCGAGATGTTGGGGTATCCTGCCCGGGGAGAACAGCACGCACCTCTGGGACTCTGTCGCCCCAAGTCTGAGGACTGCCCTATGTGACCTCTAGATCGCTGTCCCTAAGCATCTGACGATAGCTCCTAGTGCAAAGACCCTTGACCCGCTCCACACCCTAGGGTCCACACCCTCCCGCCCCGCCCCTTGGACCTCTGGTCCCTTCCTCTGCCCTCCTTACCCCTCTCCCCTCCCCTCAAAGCTCTGGCCACCCCTCCCTTCTCCCTTCCCCCTCTCCGTTCAGCTCTTCACCCCCTCTGACTTTTCCCGCCTCTCCCCACTTTCCAGAGCCGCCCCTTCCCTCCTCTTTTACTTTTCTACCTCTTCTCTCCTCCCCTCATCTTCTCACCCCTCCCCTTCCCCCGCCCCGCCCACCCGGTCTCGCAAGCCGCCCCGCCCCTGTCCCCGGCTGGCGGCCATGTGACCCCGAGGCCGGGCCGGGCCGGGCCGGGACCGTGGGCCAGGCAGGCGGGCGGGTGCAGGGTGGCGGCTGGTGGCGGCGGCATGGAGCGGAGGTGGGTCTTCGTGCTGCTCGACGTGCTGTGCGTCCTGGTCGGTAAGCGCTGGGACCCGCGTGGGACCCTCCTGGCGGGCACAGTCTTTGCCCACCCGGGCAGCTGCGCGTCTGGACCGGGGCTCCTGACTGCAGTGGGGGCCCTGGGACCCTGGCGCCAGCCAGTCCTCGCCCATCCTGCTGGGGTCGGCGCCTCGCCCTGCGGAGGAAGTCGCCGGTGACTCACGCGGGCGGGGCGGCGCTGCCCCCTGGCCCTCACACCCCCACCCCACGTCTCCAGGGGGTGCCGAGTCCCAACCCGGCGAGGGTGCAGCTTCTGGGCTTCTGGGCCCGCGGGCCTGGAGCGGGAGTTGCGGGGATCCCGCCGGGGGCGCTGGGACGAAACCTGCCCGGCCGGTTTGCGCCGGCCTCCAGCTCGCGCTCGGGCTCGGGCTCGGCTCTCGGAGGGCGCACCCAGCCCCCCGCCCTCCCCGGCCGGGACAAAGGCCGAGTGTTAGCACCGTGTCGGGTGCACAATGGCCCGAACTCCACTCGACGGCTGGGGGCTCGCGCCGATTTGCCTCCCCCACCCTCAGCATCGATTTGGGGTTTTCTGCGGAGAGGCCAGGCCCACCTTTCAGTCTGGGAGGAGACCTCTGCAGTGGGCCAGGTGACATCTGCCAGCCTTGGGCGGCTTCTCCGCGCACATACATTTTACTTCAATATTTAGGCGGTGCTTACTGTATGTTGGGCACCAGTCCACAGGCGGATAGTTTACCTGTTCTTCCACAACAGCCTGGACCCAGAAAGACTGCACCACCTGGCAGAGCTGGACGGCAGGCTGAAAGTTCGTTGTTGCTGTCTGCCCTGTGCCCACGGTGGTGCCCAGGCAGATGGGCATCTATCTTTAGGAACCAGTTTCTGAACACTTCAGGCAGTGAGGTTGTAGGAGGTGATAGGAGTTTTGAAGCCAGGGAGCTGTGGAGATGCCCAAATGAAGACCAGGTCTGGTGGGGATTGTTTCCTGGGCAGAGCAAAGGGCCTGGGCCCAGGCTCCATGAGGCCAGCTTTTGGTTACAGTGGGGCATCTGCATTTACCCTGGAAGGTGCTTGGCAGGGGTGTGGGTGGCATGTGGGGACCAGTATGAGACCACACCCAACTGTGAGGGAGCATGGGCCTGACGGGAGGTCCCTGACCTGCACCCTGCACCCTGGTCCCTCTGACCTCTGCCTTGCAGCAGACCCCAGCTTGCCAGGAGAGAGTGCCTCAGCCTGGGCACTGCCTGTCCCTCTGCCTGAGTGCTCGCCAGGACCCCGCCCTCTGCCTTCCCTCACCCTTGCTATCACCCCAGCCCAAAACCTGGTTTTGCCATGGCACTGTCCTCTGTGTCCCTGGAGCAGGTCCCCAGGCTGGGCCCTGGAGGAGGCTATGGATATCGTGGCCTCCTGTGCTCTGCAGTGGGCTCTTGCCTGAAGGCCACCCTCCCCCAGGAAGTCATTGTTGTTGGGCAGAGCAGGCATGTGCAAAGGCCCTGGGGCCCAGGCCTGTGGTTCTGCTCTAGACCTGACAGGAAGCTTGGAGTGCAGCCCAGGCAGAGTGTAGAGGCCCCAGGGTGGGGTCTGGTTGATTTGTGGTGTTGGAGAAACTGGAGGGGTTTCTCAGGGTGTATTGGCCTTCCATTTACCATCAGAAGAGCTCCAATGGGTATGGCACAAATGCACAGTGAGGCTGAGGCTGGCCTGGGGGGTGGCAGATAAATTTGAGTGTTAAGGCATAGCTGCCAACCCTTCCCTGGCTTCTGCTGCAGCCGCTCTGCCCTTCGCCACCCTGACCCTGGTGAACACCCCATACAAGCGAGGTTTTTACTGTGGAGATGACTCCATCCGTTACCCCTACCGCCCAGACACCATCACCAACGGGCTCATGGCCGGCGTCACCATTACGGCCACCGTCCTCCTCGTAAGGCGGGGCAGGAGTGTGTCCTGAGAGGAGAAGGGAGGAGATGGGTCGGGGGTCCAACCTGTCCTGGGGTGGGGGAGCCCCTGCTGCCAGACCCCTCACCTGCAGCCCTGGCAGGTCTCGGCTGGGGAAGCCTACCTCGTCTACACAGACCGCCTCTACTCTCACTCTGACTTTAACAACTACGTGGCCGCCGTCTACAAGGTGCTTGGGACCTTCCTGTTTGGGGCAGCTGTGAGCCAGTCACTGACCGACCTGGCCAAGTACATGATCGGCCGCCTGCGCCCTAGCTTTCTGGCTGTCTGTGACCCTGACTGGAGCCGGGTCAACTGCTCAGTCTACGTGCAGCTGGATGTGTGCAGGGGCAGCCTTGCCAATGTCACTGAGGCCAGGTGGGTGCAGGCTCGCAGCCCCACTCCTGTGGGAGGACAGGCTGGTGGAGCCAGAGTGCTGAGAGAGCCGGCAGGGGTGGTAGGCCCTGCTGGCGCCCTCCCCTCTCCTGTCCACCACCTGCTGACCCCTGTGACTTGCTGTCTCCAGGCTGTCCTTCTACTCGGGACACTCCTCCTTCGGGATGTACTGTATGACATTCTTGGCGGTGAGTGTGTTGTGATGCTTGTTAGGGAACCCTAGACAGGTTATGGCACTTCTCTGGCCTCAGTCTCCTGGTCACACCCCGGGAGTTGGGTAGGGCTGGGTGGGTTTGCTGGTTGGTGCAGATGGAAGGATGGATGTATAGACAGAGGCCCTTTCGAGCTGACACCCTGCCCACCTCAGCTCTACGTGCAGGCCCGGCTCTGCTGGAAGTGGGCCCGCCTGCTGCGGCCCACGGTCCAGTTCTTCTTGGTGTCCTTTGCCTTCTACGTGGGCTACACCCGTGTGTCTGACTACAAACACCACTGGAGTGACGTTCTCGTTGGCCTCCTGCAGGGGGCGCTGGTGGCCAGCCTCACAGTGAGTCCACGGGCCGCCCACCATGTCCAGAAAACCCAGCGGGATTTGACACTGCCGGGACCCCAGGCCCATGGCCCTCGCTCCAGCCTCCAACCCTCTCCCATCTGTCCCTGTCGTGCTGGCAGCTGCCCACCCTAACTATCTGACTGCCCTCCTTTTTTCCCTCAGGTCCGGTACATCTCAGACTTCTTCAAAGTCCGGCCCCCTCGGCCCTGCCTGGAGGAGGGGGAGGAGGAAGTGACACGGAAACCCAGCGTGTCACTGACTGTGACCCTCTCCGAAGCTGAGCACAACCACTATGGGTTTCCGGTGTCCTCCTCCTGAAGTGGGGCCTCAAGCCAGCTTGCTCATTGTCCCTCTGCCCTCGAGATGGGCAGTGTAGGCTGTGGATGGGCCCTGGTCCCTGTGACTGTGGTGGCCCGCGGAGCCCGCTGCCCCACTCCTTCTGGGCCGCGCGTCTGTGCCTGGCCAGCCCTCCTGCTGCTGTGAGCTTGCAGGGCCCCAGGAATGGAGTAAGCTGCTTCTGCAGGACTTCTGGTTTGAGTTGCACACGAGGGCCCACAGGTAATGATGGCCCAGGCTTGCAGAGTGTGGAGGTGAGCGTGGTCACGTTCAATGCAGTGCAGCTGCACCGGGGGCCACGGTGACTCCTGTGGCCCTGACCCTCCCGCTGCTGCAGATTCAAGCATCTAGCCCCGCCCCTGAAGCAGGAGCCAGGGGCTGGTGCCCCCCAGTGAGCCAGAACTTTCAAGGCTTACGCTTTCAACGGGTGGGTGAGCCATAAACTTAATTTTTTACTAAACAGCTCTTTGATCTGGGTGATTGATTTTGAAGTGTCTACTGGTTTTTGTTTTTTTTTTCTGCCCTGGAAAGTGCTTTGTTTCCTTTTCTATGTAAGTCCAGGCTGGCCTTCAACGCACTGTGTAGCTCACGTGGGCTGGAATTCTCAGAGATCCTTCTGCCTCAGCCTTCTGACTGCTGGATGACAGGCGTGTGTCATCATGTGAACCTGCGTACTTACCCCTTGTGGGTTTGTGTGTCAGGTGTGAGCAGGCTGATGGAGCATCTGAGGACACCCAGGAGCCCTGCAGGGGGCTGAGGTTCTGGGGAAGACTGGAAGAGGTGACTGCCAAGCACTGTCATGGTGGACATTGGGACCGTGTCCTTGTGGACCCTGTCAGGCAGGTTACTAAGCAGCAAGCCTCTGTGAGGCTCCTGTGGCTATAAGCAGGGTCTCCCAGGATACAGCAGAAGGATGGCAGGGTCCTCAGAGTCATGTGTCACACACCAGCACTTACATGTCAACATGCTGTGGTGGCAGGTGGGGGTGTAGGGCGGGGCTCCAAGGACACCTGATCCCAGCATCAGGGTTATTCAGAGGGCACCCTCACCTGGCTTTCCCTTTCTAGATACAGTAAGACTTTGTTTCCTTATTTCCATGGAAATTCCTCCTCATGAAATGCCTTCACTGTTGCTGGGTGTGGTGCCACATGCCTGTCATCCTAGCACTCAGGAGGCTGGGGCAGGAGGATTGCTGTGATTTCAAGGCCAGCCTGAGCTATACTGGGAGACCCTATCTCAGAAAGAAAACAAAAAAAGCCTAACTGCTGACACAATGCTGCAAGTACCCTTGACTCCCAAGGCTTAGCAGGTGACTCAGCAACTCAAAGGTGGCCCAAGGTTGAGGAGATAGGTCTGGAGGTATAAGTGCCTGCTTGGCAAGCACAAGGTCCTGCGCTCAATCCCTGGCACCACATGCTATGCAGGCCTGGGAACCGGGCGCGGAGGCTCATACCTGTAATCCCAGCACTGGGAAGGCTGAAATAGCAGGATCGCTATGAGTCTTAACTGCATAGTGAGACCCTGTATCAGAAACAAGCAAAGAAACAAAGGTGACCCAAGTGAGGAAGGACCTGTATTGCACTACGAGGAGAGAACAGCACCTCCTGTGCTGAGCAAGGTCCCACCGCAGAGAATCTGCTTGGCCACACTGCTGATGCTGGACTGCGCTCCCAGGCCTGGAATGGAGCTGTGGGAAACGCTGCTGTGGAGTCAGTTCGGTAGGAAGAGCCCTCCCATGTCTGATCAGCCCTGGTCCTGCTCAGTCCCTTGCTTCCTGTATCCCACAGTGATACCTGATTTCCCTCACCTGTAGGCAGTCAGGGTCCTTTTAGGCTGCCTCAGCCAGCACGGCCCTCGTCCTGAGGTTCTTGTGTAGTCATTTCCTATCGCTCAATCTTCTATTTCCCTTAGCCAGACATCTTTTGTTTTCTGGACAGGGTCTGCCTCTGTTGCCCAGGCTGACCTCAAACTTACAGTTCTCCTGCCTCAGCCTCCTGAGTGCTGAGATCACAGATGTGCGCCACCACACCTTTATGGCCTAGGCCATAAATTTCCGTTTGCCCAGGCTATATCTGTGCACCCCAGTCTCTCCTCTGCTTATTGGTCACGCTGCAGTGGTCCCAGTACTACCCTTTCCTGAATCAGACTTCTGAAGCTGTGTGACACTACAGCTGAGGAAGCTGGGAGAGAAGGCCTGTCCCTCCTTGCAGGCTGCAGAGGAGCATGACCCCTGACACCTTGGTTTCCCAGTTCTAGCCTCCAGAGCTGAGAATAAATTTCAAGGGGCCGGGGAGATGGCTCTGTAGAATAAGCACTTGCCTGGCAAGCACAAGGGCCTGAGTTCAATCCTCGGTTCCGCCAAAAAATAAAATAAATAAATTTCAGGTTCCACAGTTCGCAGTCCTTTTGTTGAGGTGGGCAAGGTGGTTTATGTCTGTTAGGTCCATACCTGGAGGTTGAGGTGGAGGACTGCCGCAAGTTGAAAGCCAGCTGAGGCTACCCAGACAGACACTGTCTCAAAAAAATAAAAGAGGAAGGGTCCTTTGTTTCTCTCCAGCCCCCTTGCTAATCACTAATTTTTTTAAATTTTTTTTTCTTAGCGGAACCGGGGATTGAACTCAGGCTATTGCACTTGCCAGGGAGGTGCTTATTCTACTGAGCCATCTCCCAGGCCCCTAATTGCTAATATTGAGATTGAAGATGAGAAATCACGGGGAAACTTGGACTTTGGTCAGGGGCCAGGCCAAGGAAAGGACTTGGTGTTTGGTGGGCAGGTTCGGCTTAGGTAAGCGCAGGGTGAGCAGCTAGGAGGACAGCAGGCTTCATGCACAGCTTGGGGACTCCTGACTCAGTGTCCTTGTCCTGCCCCAGGGACGTTTCTGTCTGCAGATCTGAGGCCACAGGCGGGGCAGCGAACATCTGGAGTGTCTGCCCTCTCTGCACCTCCTGCTTGACTTACTCCTGTTTCTGCTGGGTGGGCAAAGGGTGCAGGAACCGGAGGGCTGCTTCCTCCTCCACTGCCGCGCCTTGGCCTGCAGGAATGGCCCCTCTGTCCTTCTTGGGCTGGGCTAGGCTGTGTCTTGATAGGCCTGAGACCTTTGCCATCACTTAAAAAAATTTTTTTTAAATGTATTTAGTACAGGGTCTGCAGGGTCTATAGTATCTCACTATGTAGATCAGATTCATAATGATACTTCTGTTTTCAGCCAGCCAAGCACTGGGATTATAGATGCTTGCCACCATGCCCAGTCTCAGTCGAAGTCTCAGTGCGCCCTGGAGGCAGGGCTGGCACGGCATGCTGGGGATGAAACCTCGGTCCCTGCCTCTGCTTAAGCAGGTGCTTTAGTCCACTGAGCTATCTGGCCAGCCCAAGCTCTTAAATTTAAAAAAAAAAAAAATCATTTATTTATGTGTAAACGGTCTCGATACACAGCTTGACTCATAGTGATGCTCCTGTCTCAGCCTCCCCAGTGCTGGGATTACAGGCATACACTTCCATGCCCAGTTTCAGGGCCCACATGGGATTAGGGGGCCAGCATGGCTGGCCTTGAACTGCTGAACTATCTCCCCAGCTCTTGTCATCACTTTAACTCATAATCTTTGAAAGAGGAAGAGCTGGGCTTGGTGGTGCACACCTGTCCTCCTAGCACCGAAGAGGCTGAGGCAGGAGGATCCAGCAAATTTGAGGCCACCCTGGGCTTTCTAGTGAGCTCTCAGAGCAGGGGGAACTCTTCAGGGAGACTGCGTTGTACATTCTGTTTCTCTGTAATAGAAAGAGGATCTGGGATTCCCTGGAAGGAGGAGGTAAGTTCTCCCCGCAAGTGGAACATTCATGCATGCACACCCCCAAACTCCCACACCAACAGATGCACATAGCAGGGGCCGGCAGATGGTTCAGTGGATTGCGCTGGCAAGCGCAAGGGCCGGAGATCAATCCCCGGTTCCATAAAAAAAAAATAAATAAAATAAAAAAGGTCCCAAACAGACGCACATATCCATGACACACGCATGCAGGTCTGACCATGTGCACAAATGCACACAGAGGAAACCAGTAAGAGAATCATGAGGAACCAAAGGAGGGGTGTGTGGCAGAGGGAACAGGAGCAGCCCGCTTACAAGGAGACCAGGGAATCCATCCCTTCCGGAAGCTACCTCAAGTCCTAGATTTCCCTCTGGGCCCCAGAACTAATTTTTATTTATTTATTTTAGATAGGGTCCTGCTCTGTAGTTCAGGGTGGTCTTGAACTCGCTGTGTAGCCTAGGGAGGGCTTCATATACTCGGAGATCCTCCTGCCTCAGCCTCTTGAGTGGTGGGCTCAAAGGCATGTGCCACCACTTTGTTGAGATTGGTGTTTGTATGGAGAACAGTGTATCAGTACAGAAGGCCCAAAATTGAAGACATCCATATGGTAGCCGTGAGGGACATAAGTAAAGAATCTTCCCCTCTCTTCCTGCCTCATCTGTCTTGGAGGGGTGGCTTTGCCCAGTGGGTATTTTTAGTCTCTGTGCCTTTGGGGCAGAATATCTTCCTTTGAAGACTTCTCAGACTGGCGTGGAGGTGTGTTGCACATTTGTCCTGTGCCTGCTGGGCTGTGGTTTGATTATGTGTGACTCTCTTCCTGCAAACAGAAATACCAAGCTGACCCAAGTCCATGCCAGCTAAGGCTGCTCTGCTCTGTATGGCCTCGCCCTGCCCCGGACTGGGGCCTCTCCCTGTGTGCAGCTCCAGGTGCATTCTGGGTAGAGAAACTAGAAACTCTTATGACTCATTGTTACCTTTGCTTCACACTCAAGCAAAAGGCAGAGCTGGGCATGGTGGTGCACACCTGTAATCCTGGCACTCAGGAGGCTGAGGCAGGAAGTTTACTGTGAGTTTGACACAACCTGGGCTATGTAGTGAGCTCAAGGCCAGCCTGAACTGCAGCCAGCCTGAACTGCATAGCAAGACTTTGTCTCAGAAAAATGAAAAATGAAAGAAAAAAAAAAAAAAAAAAGAAAAAAGGAAAAAGGAAATGGCTAATTGAATGTGCCAACTCTAGGGTGGTCTGTACCGAGCCGTCTCATCTCCCCGCATATCTCCACAGGTGCCCGAGTGCTTCCCGTGGTGCAGGGTTTTGGTACAGCGTCACCCTCAGGAGTTTGCCTGTTCCCTGGGAGTAGGTACCTCCCGCCAGAAGTGTGAGGTGGGGGATTCAGCCTGTGCCACACTGGACAACTGGCTGGATGAGATACAAGAAAGGTCAGAAAAAGCCACAGCTGAGAGGTTGAGCAAGCTACTTCCTGAAAATAGAGCACAGGCACAGAACACAGGGCCCTCAATGGCTGTCCACTGAATGCTGCGGACCAATCAGAGAATAGCAGGAAAAGTGCTCTTTTCAACCCTTTATTGGCATCTGGCACTGTTCACAGTTCCAATCTGAGATGCTCCTTTAATTCTTCCTTTGCGTCAGGAGGGTAACCTG